GAGAGGAGAGGAGAGGAGAGGAGAGGAGGGGAAGGGAGAGGAGGGGAAGGGAGAGGAGGGGAGAGGAGGGGAAGGGAGAGGAGGGGAAGGGAGAGGAGGAGAGAGGAGGGGAAGGGAGAGGAGGGGAGAGGAGGGGAAGGGAGAGGAGAGGAGAGGAGAGGAGAGGAGGGGAAGGGAGAGGAGGGGAGAGCAAGAAGTGGGAAGGAAGGAGGGAACTGACCGTCAGAGGATTCCAGTCGGTGACCATGACCCACTGACGGATGTCAAACTTGCGCCTGTTGATGAGGAAAGGTCGCTCGAGGTACTTTTGCACCACCCAGTGCATCTCCTTCCCGGAGATGCCGAAGCCGATGTACTCGAGGATGCGGTTGATGCGGTTGGCGCAGATGATGTCCCGTCCTCTCGACTTGCCCGCTGGCTTCACGATCCACACGTTGTCCAGCCCGTTGAGACTGGACTGCACGTTCATCTGCTGCAGCTGCTGGAGCAGGCTCTCACTCTCCTTCCGCAGCTCCCCCTCCTCCCTCTGCTTCAGCTTCCTCGCCGCCTTCGACTCGTTGACGATCTCCTCCAGCGTCATCTTCGCCCCCTGACCGAACTCCAGCTTCCCTCCGAACGGCCTGTATCCGACCGTCCTCTGCCTTTTGGAGAGAGCAGAGGTTGTCTCGGTGGTGGTGGTGGTGGTGGTGGTGGTGGTGGAGCGACGGTCGAGGACAGGGCAGGGCTCTCCGAGGATCATGGTCCACTCTGCTGTGGTGAGCTGGAGCTGGGAGGAGACATCGTCGATGTCAAGCACGTTGCAGCGGCGGATGAAGGAGTCGACCGCCAGGCATGTCAGCTGCACGCAGTAGAGGAAGTGCTCGCCGTAGGCATGCCCCTGCACATAACGCAGTGAGTGGAGGGAGGGAGGAGGAGGGAGGAGGGAAACGGCAGGGAGCATTGGGAACGATGGGAGAGAAGGAGAGAGCTCAGTGGAAGGGAAAGGGCCACATGAAGGAGGAGGATGGGGACGAGAGAAAGGAGAACGACAGGTTGTGAGGAGGAGCTGACCTCCGGGTCTACCATGGACGCTCCGTCCTTGAGAAATTTCTTCAGTAGGTTCTCTGCACAGACCTTGACGGAGGTCAGTTGGAAGTGACGGGAGAGAGGAGGAGGAGGAGGGTTGGGATAGTAGAAGCTAGTGAGGAGCACATGGATGAAAGCGATGAGCAAGGAGAACGGAAAGGAAACAGTGAGCGGAGGAAGGAGAGAGGATAAGGGGGGAAGAGGAGGAGGGGAGGAGGGATAGGGACCATTTTGAAATCCTCAACGAAGTCAAGCAGCTCTTCGGAGTCCTGCAGGTTGTAACTTCGCGGGAAGAAATCGTCCATGTCGACGTCCTGACAACAAAGTGAGAGAGGGGAGGGGAGGGAGGAGGAAGCAGAGAAACAAACGACGTGAAGAGTTGTGGAGGAGGAGGAAACAACGGGGAGGGTTGTGGTGGTAGTGGAGGAGGAGAAAGGACATGAGGAGAGTCTGAGGGAGCGGACGATTGTCCTTGCTCTTCACCTCAAACCACTTGAGGTTGCGCAGATTTCTGGTCAGCCCAACTTTCGTCGTCAAGTTGCCATTCCTGGCAAAGTGATTCACCACTTGCTCCTTGTTGAGAGCCTGAAGAAGGAACGTAAGATGCACGCAGTGGAAAGAGCGATCCCATAGGTTGTAGGGAGGGAGGGAAGGAGAGGACAGGAGGATAAGAGGACAGGAGGATAAGAGGATAGGAGGATAAGAGGATAAAGGAGGGTAGGCGGGAGGTAGTAGGGAGGGAGGGAGGGAGGTAGTAGGGAGGGAGGGAGGGAGGGAGGGAGGGCGAGGGGGTCCTTCAAAGAATCACCTTGAATGGGATGTCGCTAGTCTTCACAGTCCACTTCAAGTCAAAGATCATACTCTCTTCCTGCTCCACTTCTCAGGGCGAGCAGGTGGAAAGGCAGTGGCGGGGGTCAGGAGGAGGAAGAGGAGAGAAGGGAGGGGGGGGGGAAGAAGGAGGAGGAGGAAGAGGAAGGAGTAGATATGTGCATGGAAACGTGGAGGGGACAAAGATGAGGAGGTGAAGGAGATAAGAACCTCTCTGTGCTCCTTCCATCCTCGGGCTAGGAGCGCTTTCCTGATCCCTTCATAATTGTGTCCCCCTCCCGCAATGCAGAAGAGTTTGTCGGACTCGGAGAAGCCGTACCTGCAGCACAATCAACACCCCCCTCCCCTCCCCTCCTCTCCCGTAGCTCACTTCTTCCTTAACCACTGCTCCTCCTCCTCCTCACTGCTGAACCTAATTACGACAGACACGTCAGCGTTCTGAATCAGAGCAAGGACGTGTTCACCTGTCCTGGTACCGCCGCGTCCTCGCCGCGATCTGGCGCTCGATGTCGGATCTCTTGGGACTCGCCACCTCCTCGTTCTCCTCGTTCCCTTGTCGCCGCTGACGTGGCTCGGCGCTCCCCTGGTTCGCCTCGGAGCTCTCCTGCGGGTCCTTCGCTCGCTCGACATTCTCCATCGCCTTCTCCCGCAGCCGCCGCTTCAGCAGCTCCTCCTTCCTCTGCCTCTCCTCCTGCTCCTCCTTCTCCGTCCTCTGCTTCTCCACGAGCTTCTGCAGCGCTTGCTTCGTCCTCTCGAGGAGAGCCTTGTTCCGAGCTGCCGCTTCCTTCTTTGCTGCGAGCTGATTTTCGTCCAGATCCTTCTCCTCTACGATGGCTTCCTCCTTCCTCTCCCACCTGTCGTTCTCCTTGTTCTCATCCTCTGCCTCCATCCCTTGGATCCACGACTGACTTCTCGGCAGCATGAACTTGGGAGCGACATTGTCGAGCCCCAGCTTGCTCTTCAGCTTCGCCGCTGCCTCCACCTGCTTCTTCAGCTTCTGCTCGTTGTCCTCCCTCGCCCTCCGCCCCTCATCCTCCATCCTCTTTATCATCTCCTGGTAGCGCTTGCGATACGCGTTGCGCTGCTTCCCCTCCATCGAGCTGCCGTCTCCCTCCCTGGGGAGAGAGCTCTTGGGCAGGGCGATCAGCGCCTGCAGGTAGGGTGACGCCTGGATTGACTTTGACAACGTCTCCTTATCCACAACTTTCTTGCTCAGCCTCGTCTTGCCGTCAGCCTCGCTCCTGGACTTCTGCCCGTTCATGCCATGGATGAACTTCTGCAGGTTCTCCTCGAAGATCTTCATCTTTGCCGACTGCTTCTGGTCCCCATGGCGATGAGCTTCCCCCTCCCGTCCTGCACCTTGTCGCCATGCAGCCGGGGGAGGTTGCCGTTGACATCCTCTTCGTCGTCGTCCGCACTGATACCATCTCCATAGGAGGATCTCCTCGAAGACCGAGATCGGTTGGTGTGCTGTCCTGACGCGTTCACAAGGGGAGGGAGTAGGGTCCCCTCTCTCCCAGGGGCAGGAGGTCGCTGGCTCGACATGGGATTGTCCATCACGGCTCAGCGATCTCCAGCAAGATGAAGCGATCAGTCCTCCAGCATGACCTGCATTGAGCGCGACGACAATGCGAGGACAAGCTCGGCAAGCCTTACTCCATCATGCCTGTCATTCTACAACTTGACGTCAGTAAACGATGAAAAATCCTCCAAGGAAACTTTCAAGTCTTTCTGACTTCCCTCTGATGAAGCCATCTGAATCCCATCCTTAACAATTCTGCAGCTCCATCCTCCCTCTCCTTCGTCGACAGGCCACTCCTACGTCTCACGTCCGTTGATCTCTCTTCCTCTTTCACATGGTTTCACACCAATGAAATCATCCCCAGTCGACAGAGCTCTCTTTCCGTTGAACCATCCTCTCTCGTCTCGTTCATCTCCTCCTCCTCCTCCTCCTCCTCCTCTTCCTCCTCTTCCTCCCTGCCTCTTCTCCTACCTCCCCTCCTCTCTCACTCTTCCCCTCCTCTCCTCTCTCCTCCTCTCCGTCTTGCGATGTACTGACATCTCAAACGCTCAACCACCACCACCCACCCCCTGCTTTCCCCTCATCTCGGGCATCAAGTACCCCGGTAAATTGCATGTCAGAACACCGGTACTCGTAAAATTTGACCAAGGGTGATAAAGCGACCCACATCGATGATGGGCGACGGATATGTGGAGGAGAGCGAAGAGAGGGAAGAAGGGGGGGAGAGGAGAGGAGAGGAGAGGAGAGGAGAGGAGAGGAGAGGAGAGGAGAGGAGAGATGAGGTAATGAGGAGGAGACGAGATGAGGGAAGAGGGGGAGATGAGATGGGTGTGGAGAGAAATGGAGGCGAGGCGACAACAAAGCAAGGAGAGAAAAGGTTTCGGGAGACGAGGGAACAGAGTCGACATCATGGTAAGAAAACGGCACAGCAAGGTCGAAATAGAAGGATTGGGGCAGACTGAGATGAAAGAGTGGCAAGACGACATGCTGACCAGAAGGTATGAGTGAGAGACAGTGGGACAAACAAGAGTTGAAGAGCGACGAGCAATTGATGAATGCAAGTGAGGAGCAGTGAGACAAACAGACGATGGTTTTCTATTTATCTAGCAGTCCATATGTCGATGCGAGAATTAAGACTAAGAAACTGTTTTTCGACGAGTCAAGTGCAATAGTCAAACCCGCTAGTCTCCGAGGAACGTCGCATACTGCAATCTTGATCAGGACCTTATTCGCAACTTGGTTGAGAAAGATGTTAAGAGAGTTGCATCTTGAGATCCGGCGCAAGATGTGCGACCAAGAGATATTTTCTACTGAGTGATTAAAAATGCCAAACATTGCTATTCCCACCGATTCCTTCGAATCCTCGATTGTCAACCTCATAGCAGCTAGGTCGTCAAAACAGAGTCTTCATTGGGATGGAATGCCGCCATCGATGGCGTCCCGTCTGAAGCATGGTTGGTCGTATCATGCCTTCAAATGAGTAAGTGCTGGTGCTGGGGTGAATCTTCAACTTCATAGCAGAAAGTTGTCGCAAACGTGCAGGTCATGCGACAAGTAGGGATCGATCAAGTTAGGTGCTGCACCTCGCATGATATTTCGATGAAGGCCAACATGAATTGCAGGGCAGCAAAAGGACTTGCGTTTCCGTTATCCAGGAAAATACACCAGCGCTGGAAAAATTCATGTTGTCACTCACGGCATGGACGATAAAAGAAGATTCTTATCATGCAGACGAAGTATGTTTAAGAGTTATCACTGCTTGCTTATGAGTGCAATGATATGTTGTCTTTATTGTTCCTTGACCAGCTAAACATCTACACTCTAGACAAAGCGTCTCCATGATTGTTGAATTTTCGTTTTATTTTCTCATCTGACGCAGAAACCTTGTCAAGTGATACCTGTTACCCTCGTCAAAGTTTGAGATGGATGGAGCACAACAGTGACCTCGATGTGTCTTTCATCTTTGATTCCCTGTATGTCTTCGATGTGCAACGGTCCACTGCCAGCTCTTCAGCCGAGCATTTCGAGCCTACAGGAGTGAGTCACCATCTGAGGCAGCTTTGCAACTCAAACTTACGATCCATGTTGTTGTTCTGAAAGCAAGTAAGCATATTTGCTAGCAGTTCTTGGCAAGGGCTGGAAAGAAAGTCAGTCATGCTCCATGCCATCTTGAACATTAAGTTCGAAAACTAAACTCACTCAAAGAATCTCTGCTTTTTCTTCCTGGGACGGGGGGCCATGTCGAAATCCCTTGGTCCAGCTCCGTTATAAGGCATACATTCTGCCACCTGGAATATTTTTCAATCAACACCAAGCTTGTACAAAGCGATGCTGGTGGGTGAAAGACATTCAAATGGGAATATGCGTTACGAGATACTTGAGCATCATTCATGGGGGGTTGAAGGGAGGAACAAACAAGCGTGGGAGGCATCGAGAGGAGATTCTCGGAGCATGACATCAAGGCAGAGCATGCGAACTTGCACATGGCTCAGGTGTTACCGTCACTATGCCTGCTCCCTCCAGCACGCGGCTGATCCTCGCTAGCATCTTCTGCGGCGAGCACGGGTGACCCTCGTCCCCTCTATGACCGATGTTGGTGAAGGGATCAGGGTGGGGATGAGGGTATTTCTTGTATAAGCTCGTGAAGGGCAAATCGGATTTCCGTCCCTCCTCTCTCCGCCTCCTCTACCTAGCCTCCCTTCCGCTGCCGCTCCTCTTCACCCCTCTCTTTCCTCTCTTTCCCCACATCTATCCTCTGCCCTCTCTCTGCTTCTCTCGCGCTCCGCATTGCCATGGCATGTTCCGCACTACGACGTAAGCGAAACCACAATGTTTGTTTCTTAGATCCATTGCTCCATGTTCCATTACTCCCTGTATTCGTCTCCCTCTCTTTGTATAATCGATCTCTGGCCGCACAAGCAAGTCCATAAGCGCATGATATCGCATTTGGTACCTGACTCGCGCGCCTAGATTGAGTCCTTCTGCTATCTTTACTTCTTTTTCTGCGAACAACAACTGGAGATGATAGCGGTAGGCATAAGCATCAATGTCTTGAAGCTGTGCAGCCCCCATGTGTTCCTCATCTCTTTTGTTTGTGCGTATCCTCCCCTTCACCTGGACAAGAGCTGCTCTGTGGCTATGAGAGTCTGGGGTACTTAGGAGGAAACATCAAGTCTTGAGCGTGTGCCTCGATTCTCTCATGCCTGAGCATGAGGGGCCGTTGGCGATGCTAACATCTGTGCTCTATCCCTCCTCAAAACATCTGTGCTCTATCCCTCCTCAAAACATCTGTGCTCTATCCCTCCTCAAAACATCTGTGCTCTATCCCTCCGCAAGTGTGACAGCTGCTGACTTGCCCAACAGCGCGATGGTCAAAGTCTCACCCGGAGCATGCTGGCAGATGACTGCAGGGTGACGAGCAAGGACGAAGACGAGGGCCGGAGACTCGGGAGGAGGGAGGGGCAGAGAGGAGCATGAGGTGGATCTTGCGGCCAGCCCTTGTGGGTCAGAACTCTTGTAGGTAGGAACTCTCATCCGTGTTACCTGAAGAGGGCAGTTTAAATGTGCAACCTGGCATGTGTCAGTAGTGTCACAGTATCAGTGATGTTGTCTGTAAAGTAGCGAATCTTTCAGTCCACTACACTAGGCTTCAAAGCTTCGCACTCGAGTCGCTCCTGGAGTAGTCCACACAAGTTGACCTTGCCTAGAAGCCACGAGGCAGAGGCGCAAGCCTCCTCGACTCTCCTGATTGTTTTGAGGCGGCAGTGACCGGGGGTCTGGCGGCTCTCATGCACGTGCAGTGCCGCGCCACCGGCCGGGCGGCCCGGTGACAGTGCCACTCGTCCGGCGCCGGCCGTCGGGCCCGGTCCCGGCCCGGCAGGCCCGGCAGGCCGTCACTGGCTTACGATAACTACCCCCTGTTTTACTGATGAAAGTACCCCTCATTCATAGTGCTTCGACTTTTCCTTCGAAACGTCATGACTCTTGCTTTCAAACGCCAGCCCCCACCCCACCCACCCATAAGTCCATTTCTAAAAAGTAACCCGTACTTTTCCTTGAATTGATTATTCGAGGACCCGGGTACTATTGACCGCCATCGTACCACTACCCCTGACTCCATATAGTACACAAGCGATCTGGACTTATCTTCCCTTCCCCCGCCGCCCCTGTCGCACTTCACTCTGTTGACTGGACTTGTTGTAGACTTGTTGTAGACTTGTTGTAGACTTGTTGTAGTGTCTTGTCTTGTTTTCTTGTCTTGTTCTCTAGTTTGGTTTTCTCAGAGTTTACACCGCTCCGTGTTTCATCGTTCATCTCACAACCTTCGACATAAAAATGTTCTCGAGGCAATCCGTCTACACTGCGATTTTGGTACTCCTCTGCGCGTCGTCAGCAGCATGCTATCAGTCCTGCAACGGCAACTGCTCAACTTTCCAATCTACAAGCATCGTGAAACCGGCTGTTCTCCCACCAGCGCTGACGGACTTCGAGCGATCATTCATGAGTCAGATGCTTCAAGGTTTCGAGGCCAAGGAGGTTCACACCAAGCCTGCAGCCTTTCCCTCCAAGATACCCTCCGAGTCCGGCTCCTTCAGCGTCCCTCACCTGGTGCAGCCAGCAGGCGTGGTCGGGGACTCGTCTTCCAGAATCATCACGAGCGGCTCTCTCGGGAACCATCACAGCTTTCTCGATGAACATGTCGGGCTCTTCTGAGCAGGGGATATTCTCTTCAAATCTATTCCGACATGGTTGTACATTTCATTCTTATTCTTTAAGTGCTCTTGTCAGTCTGCATGACTGGCAATATTGAGTTATCAATGAATTTTTTCTGTGGAAGATTTCACTTGTCTGCTCTGTTTTCCACTGTGGCGTAATCTGATCAACGCAAAGGATCTCGTCGCGGTCGGTTCAGAGTGTGACATTGATTCCCGTGATCGTTTGATCGAGAATACTACAAATTATAGCAATATTTACAATAATCTACATATCGAACCAACATGAAACAAGTCAGACAGTGTTGGTGTATACAGGGATGTATCTTGCTTGGGCTCCCTTGTCGAGAAGAAACTCATACGCCTCTCTTGCCTTAGCAGGCCATCGTTGATAATCCTTCCCTGCATGTCACGTCAAGCCAAGACCATGTCGGGTTCTCTTTCACCGTTCTTGATGTTTCCTGCCAGCTCAAGCCAAGCTAGCGGCGTGCTGCCAGACGAGTCCTGTACGTTGACGTCCAGCCCCTCATCGAGGAGGTACTTCATCACCTGCACCCTCTTCATCTGATGTGCAGACGACGCAGACAACTTGCCTGCAGGTGGCAGTTGAGAGCAGCGAAATGCAGAGCGGTTGCCCCCCTGCTGTCACGGGCGTTGACCTCACATCCCTCTTCGATCAACCTCTTCAGCCAGCTCAAGACTCCTTCGCTCGCAGCCTCGTGCGTCTCCAGCTCATGCTGAGGCTCAGCGATAGATTCGACCAGCACAGGGTGAAATGGAGGAGCGAAGTCAATGCAGTCCGTCAGGCCCTTGGGCTCGGACTTCTTCCTCCTCGCATCCTTCTCAGTGGCCACGTGTCTGTGCCATATCAGCAGCACCTGACAGCACACGTCACCTGACAGCACACGTCACAGCCCCCAAGACATGTACCGGCCGCAAGATCCAACGAGCCTGAATGCCGAAGGAAAGCTCCAGTAGAGTGTTAGTGGCCAAGTTGGCGACCTGTAAGGAGTCAAGGAGGTTCAGTTGGATTCATTGCAGCACCTCGATCTCAGGGACATGTAGCATGTGTATGATGAAAGGAATCATGCCGTTCCTTATGAAAGCACTCTTGTTCCGGTCGATGAGCACCAGGTTGTAAGTCGCGTGCACGCTCTTGATGAAACTGACAGCATGTCCTCGCCATGGCTCTGCATGTTTACAGCAATCCACTACAAGAGTGAGCTCCTGAAGGTCCTGGTCCTTGACTCTCATCACGCTGTTGTCTCTTTGATCCGGCCCTCCTATCAGCAGTGCCAGGCACATCATTGTCAACGTCCGCTCGGTGTTGTCTGGATCGCCCAGCAAGCCTTGAAGAATCTTATCCACTCTCAAGCCCAGCAGGTACTGAACTGCCTGCAGCTGCTGAGGCGTTCGGATCAATCTGGAACTTGATGACCCAGCTTCTTCTGGAGACACCGCCTGTGATTTAGTCTTCTGCTCTTTGATCAGAGCAAACTGATCGAACTTGCTCATGCCTTCTGCGAACAGCTGCTCACCGAACAAGTCAGAGCGTGATTGAATTGTTGAGATCAAGTCGTCAAGATGCAGTTGCAGCAAGCAACATCTCTCTGAAGCTTTCAGACTTCGAGGCAAGAAGCTTTCATCGGCTAGGGCTTCAACGCACAGGACATCTCCCTCTGCGAATGTTTGTCGGTCGACATCCTCGATCAAAGTGCCTTCCAATATCATGAAAATACTTTGAGAGTACTCATCTGAAGTGAGCAAGACCTGTCCTGCTTCTACAAAGACCATCCTGCTGCTATCTTGCACGAGGGTTCTGATTTGTTCGCTTGAAAACAAGCTAAAGAAGGTTTTCTCCCCCAGAGCATATTCCATTGCCCTGCTCCGCAAGTCCTGCACCTGACCATCGTCATCCTTTAAATCGACCTCCACCTCAGGCTGGAATACAATCTCATCTCCCTCCAAGACTTCATCTGCCGATGCCTCTCCTTCGATCTCCTCGTCGTCGAACGACTTGTACCTGCCTGCCACAAACCCTGCCACATTGACAAGCATTCCTAGGATGTGAAATCTCAACTTCGGATCTGATTCCCGGGCGAGAGAGCTGACAAGCAGTTTGATCGCGCCATTGTTGTACAGCAGAGGCTGAAGGCTGGAGTACAGGGAGATGTTTCTGAGGACAACCCAAGCACATGTGGTATCCTCAGCATCGCCTGCCTGCATGATGATGGTCATCATCCTCGGAATGGTGACCTCGGCGAGGGTTGAGTCCACGGCTCCACAGGCCGTCAGATTCCGCATGGCAGCGAGCAGCGAAGCCCCAGCCTCACTCTTTCCTCGCCGGACAAGCTTCCCCATGGCCACCAGGATGCCCGAGGCTTTCAGCAGGGGCCCGTTGGCCTTGACGTACGCGAGGTTGCTCAAGACTCTGACTGTGGGGGTCAAGATTTCCATCCCGTCGCTCTCCAGGGCCCGCATCAGGAGCTTCAGCACGCCTGCCTGGATGAGAGTTGTCTCTGTCTTGCCCCCTGTGCGCGACACGTTCACCAGGAACCGCATGATGACGAGGTTGGTGTCCATGGTAGCGGACGAGTTCAGGTCGTACTCCTCCATCAGCGCCTGCGCAGTTCCTAGCTGGACTATCCGTGGGCGATTGCTAACCTCACAGCTCAGGTGCAGGAAACATTCTAAGATCATCTGCTGCTGGCTCAAAACTTCGTTCTCCACAAGCGTGAGGTATTGGTTCCTGTTCGCAAGCTTCAAGGCAAAGATCATCTTCTTTGCTGTCCGGCAGTACTTGAGATGCTCCACCAACATCAGCACAAACTTGCCCGACCTGTGCTCAACAATCATCCTGCAGAACATCTCGCTCTGAGCGAGAGAGTGCAGTATGACCATCGCAACGATCGCCAGAGAGCCGAAGTTTGACTTTGCTTGCAGCCATTCCTTAGCCTGCACATGCTCCATCTGGTCGAGATCCTTCTTTTCCTGATAGTCCAGCTTTCCTGCTCTCCGCCTCCCCCAGAGCTCATCGATGACCTTCTGCTGCTCCGCCAGGTTCTTCTCCTGCAGGGGGTCCATGCGCTGACTGACAAGGATCTCATGGAGCAGGTCGAGAACTTTCGCGTCCTGCAGGGCCTTGTGCTTTGAGACATCCTTGGAGAACTCGAAGAGGTCGAGGAGAGACAGCAGCTGGATCTCAGGCTTCTTCTCTTTCGTCCACGAGTTGCGTATCAGGACGAACTTCTCAGAAATCGCCTCCTCCTCAGACACCGGAGGCTCCGGTTTGCTCAAGTCGCATATCGCCTCGACAATCAGGTCGCGGTGCTGAGGATTCTTTATCCCTATTCGCTTCATCAAATCCGTCAATGTCTTTCTCTGTTTCCCGAAGAGCACCAGCCCACTCAGCTTCTCCTTCAAGAAGAGCTCTTTGTATCCTCCTTCGGTGACTGACAAGTCCACCTGCCTTCCAAGGGAGCCGTAGTTGGCCCACTTGTGGTTGGTTCCCTTCAGCATGTCCAGGAACACGAGCAGCTGCTCTGTGCTCCAGGTAGAAGGAGCAATCTTGCCCAGTGGGCAACATTTCTCAAGTGCCTTGGGCATCAGGCACAACGGACACATCCGCATGGTGGGGGAGGCAGGAGGAGCAGGCTAAGTGAGCATGATGGAAGCTACTTCTTCGACATGCTCGTCCAACCTGCTCGTCTCGTCGCCCTCCTCCCTCCCCACCGCTCCTTCCGCAGTCTCATGTTCTTCCCTCAATTCTCGTCGGGGAGTTCCTTCTCCAGGTAAAGTCTTTACTTCGAAAATTAAACTTGAATTTTGAAATTAGAGAACTAATTTTGAGGCTAATGTTGAATCCTTGGCCCTGATCCTACCAGTTGAGTGTGCTAACAAGTGCGTTGGACCCAGACAAGAAGTAGCCCAGCACGTGTGTCAATGCTATGAATTCAGACAAGAATTGAAAAGAGGGATACCAACATCTCTTTGTTCTGCTAAGACAACACTTGGAAGGTACGATCGATCATTTTTCACTAAAGAACCAAAGTCTCGTCGTTCTCTCAAGGAAGAGAAGCTTTTGAACACGAGTGAAATAAGTGCTGCAAGGTGAGGACAATAGCGTGAGGATACACTTCCTACCGTCAGAAGGGACAAGCAAGGAATATCAGGTGATCCCGGCGGCAGTTCGAGTGAACTAGAAGGGGAAATACAAAGTTTTGAACGAACATCTGTAGAGCAGGTTGGTGGAATGGATCCTTTACAGGTGCTACATTGATAGATAGAAACATCTGATAACTCTGATAACTATATCCTTACCATGCAATGTTGCAACGTCTCGTCGCAGATGATCGAGAATAGGACCTCAATCAGAACAAGACAAGGAAAGGATGAGAGGTGTTGGGTCAGGAGATGAGCGGAAGGGAATAAAGAGAACAAAAAGAGAGAGAAAGAAGTACGGACTTCAACAACGAGATGTCGTGAGCGCATCCGGGGGAAATTCCCTGCACTCCTTCATGTTTTACAGGTGCTGCAACTTGAGAAGGTGCCAACTCGGAAACAACGAAAGGCTGCGATCTGGAATCAGGAATAGCGGTAGAGGCAGGAGCAGCAGGAGCGGCAGGAGCAGAAGGAGCGGCAGGAGCGGCAGCAAGAACACTAAAGCAGAGCTATTAGGAGTAAAAGGAGGAGGAGGAGGAGGAGGAGGAGCAGGAGCGAGGAGCAGGAGCAGGAGCATCAGGGGGAGCAGGGGGAGCAGGGGGAGCAGGGGGAGCAGGAGGAGCAGGAGGAGCAGGAGGAATAGTTCAGGATCTGCACCGTCTTGTCCGACCGTATCCGGCGTATGCGGACTTATGTCAGCACAAAATAAAATGATTGTATATTGTTCAGGGGTGGGTAGGGTGAGAGCGAATTGAGAGGGGTGATAAACAGAGAAAAGGAGGGGTGAACAAAGAAGGGGTGGTGTGGAAATTCCTTTTGACCCCTCCTACTCTCTATTTAGAATTATGCTTATAATCACCCGGTCCGTCCTCAGGAAATTTGTTCGCAAAGGGTGGGTCCGAATAGAGGCTATCTAAAACTAGTTATATAGCTGTACCTGTTGTCTGAATGGCCGACTACAGTACATGGGAGGGGTTCTCGAAAATAATTGAATTTTAATTCCGTTGAGGGGGGGGTACTGTAGGTAGGGGAAGGGGGTAGTTGACAGAGGTGGATCCAGGGGTAGGTAGTTTTCCGTTGGGGTCGTTAGAGGGGTGCTAATTAGTGAGAGGGGTAGGGTGGATTGATGATGGATTCAGGGGGTCTTTGAAAAATGGTTGTTGGAAATCAATTGGAAAGGGGGTAGTAAATGAGAGAATGCCAGGGGTTATCATTGATTTCAGATAATTATTGGGGGTAGGGGTACTGAATGACCACGAGTTCAAAATAAGCTTTCAATGTTGGGTGGGTTCCTTTGGAAGTGGGGTGAAAGCCTCTAATTGGGTGGGTGGGGACAATTGTTTTGAGGGGGTAGGGGTATCGGAAGAATGGTTTCAGGGGGTGGGGATCATCTTGGGGGGCGGTCATGCAAGCCTGGGCGATGAGAGAAAGTGGCAGCCGCAGGTTATGAGAGGAGCGGAGGAGGAAGAGGAGGAGCGATCGATCAAGACTACTGGTACGAAGGTGCTGCTAACATGCTGTTACAAGAATCAACCTCCAACTTCTCTTCTGTCGCGCTGCTTCCTTGACTATTCATTCTGGAATGCTATGTCTCAGTTTGTTCGTTTTCTTGTAGATCAGAATGTGATGCCATGAATGTTGTTTGGAATGGCCGCAGTGTGGTTGATATGACATATCTGAGGAGAGTATGATGGTGTTGAGAGCGCCATGTCCTTGCTATTGGTGCAAGAAGGGTGCATCTCTCTTATTTGAAATAGAAAGCGTTGCAAACTTTTATTTTGATAATACAAGTTTACTCTCTCTTGATCTACCAATGTTTTAGTTTTTGTGCATGCAAATTTAGTTGACGATATGCTATTTCGTTGAATAATGCATTGATTTGCAGGTACAACTTTAAGCAAATAGAGGCCAAGGCCCGATAGTCTCTGCAACGCAGACGTCACAGAGAGCGTTGCCACAACTTTATCTAAATTAGAATGATACGACGTCTTCGCAAAGGGGCGAAAATATCGGGAAAGCGCTATGCGATCACAGCAACGGTGACATTGATGAATGCTTTCAACCGAAGTTGAATGTTGTTCAGATCCATAGTCTTCGCTTCTCTGAATCGATTCCTTGGCACTCGTCCAAGGTGACTTCAATCAGCCGACCAGAGGAAGATCCTTAGCCTCATCTTGTGCAGGTTTGGTATCATGAGAATGCTCGAGAGTGTGCGGAGCTAGACTCCAACTTTCAGGAAGTTGCAATCTTGTGGAAGCGCAAGGTTTGTACCTATCATAAGAAATCTCTATCTGCTTTATTCCTTCTCATCCCTTTGTCCAGTCTGGCAAGGAAGTCATGTCGTCATGGAAACCATGTTATGATGTACATCTCATGGTTGAGGAAGTCTGGCAGGTGCTGACGTCATGGGCTCAGGTGGCCAACGAAAAACCCACCCAGCACAAGCTTATCTGTTGGGACGAGGACATTTCTCTTGCCCTCATGCTTTACCCGGTAGACTTGAAGCGCATGGTCAGTCTCTCTTCGTGAGTTTGCGGCCTGCCTCACCTGAGTTGATGCAGCTGGAGAAGTCGACAACCTTCACCCTGATGGGGCGCGCTTTTCTCAGCTCCAATAGCAAAGCGATAGCGAGTGCAAAGGTGCTGTCTCCCTCCTCCCTCCCTCCTCCCTCCCTCCTCCCTCCCTCCTCCTCCCTGCTCCCTCTCCCTCTCCGTCGTGTGCTTATCTTGGCTCTCGCAGGTTGACGTGGCGAAGCTCGTGAACGAGGCATGCTACGAGCTCTATCCCTGAAGTTGTTTCTGACGAGAGTTTAAAGCATGATGGCTGTGCGACCATGGAGTTAGAGCTTCAGGTCACATCCTGTCGCTCTTGTTGGGATCATCGCTGAAAGCCTTGCAGATTGAGCACAAGCCCCTGGGCAGATTGATGCTAACGCTCTTGGCGAAACCTCTCCTAGAAGACAACCTGGTGTCCCCGGAAAGACCGTTTCAACGATGTGTATCAAGTCCAGGTAAAGAGAACTTGGCGGACTGGATGTAAAAGGAGCCGAATCTGCTTGTCTTCTTGTCTGCTTCCCTAACTTTCTGCTTTCTTGCGTCTTGTATGCGTTGTGACGCTGAATCTGATTCCATCCTGCCTTAGATCACACTTCGACGATCCAAACAGATCCCATCGAGGACAGTGTGCACAGTGTTGTAAGTGAGACGAGTGAGAGTGCGGAAGAGAAGAGGTGAAGGCGATCTTGACGTGACTCATGCCGAACGGGAATGACGCTCGTCATGTTCAGTCCGGAGATCCCCAGCATGAGTGTTGCTCGGCGACCGCGGAAGACGGCGAGCTTTCCTCTCCGCATGCATGTGAGCAATGGGCGGAGAAGTTCCGACAGTCTCACTGTGCGCAGGCGCACGAGACTCTGGCCACGTGCGAGGACAAGGAGGAGGACATCAGGTGGGCGACTGGATGACTGTCACCTGGACGGTTGTGATGTTTCCAACAGGCCCTCGTCAGGATTCCTCTCTGCCCTGGTGATTCCTTTCCCCCCTCCTTCTCCGTCTCTGACCTTGCTTCCTCCATGTGCTGCAGTCAAAGACGATCCCAAGGTTCTGCGTTCCTTCCTCCTTCCCCCCTTGCTGCGTTGTGATGTGTTGCCGTCAGTTTCCAGTCCTTCCGTGCGATCATGGGCAACCCCTCAGGTCAGAGTCGTGGACCTTGTGATGGGACGTTCTCCTGACATGAGGCTGTTGTGCAGATGTCGTCGACACGACGGTGATGCATCGGCTGAAGTGCCTTGCGCGACTTGATGGAATGCGCAGCAGTCAGCAGATGCTAGAGGTAGAGAGAACGTCAAGCCCAACAACATCCCCGACAAGGAGGCAGAGGATGCGGGCAAGCCCGGACTCGAGGAGCAACTGGTGAGAAGCCCCGAGCTGAAGGCGCTGCTGAGCTCCAGCCACCCGGAAGTCTGCATTGAGGTGAGGAGGTGGAGGAGGTGGAGGTGGAGGTTGACAGGCATACAATCAAGGTCTTAAAGCTAAGGAAAGAGGTGGAGGAGCTGAAGGAGAAAGCTCAACACCAGGAGAACGAGATTGAAAGACTCAAGGTGTGTTCTGCTGCTCTTCAACTCCCCCCCCCCCACCCTGTTTCCCCTCCTCCCCTCGTGCCTCCTCCCTTGTGACTCGATGTTGCAGGAGAAGAATCAAGTGAAACCGCAAGTGTCGGACTGGAGGTGAAACGTCTCCGAATGTCAGTCCTGCAAGTCAATCTGACGCTCCTTACAGCTTCGCTCAAAAGGACAAAGCCAAGGCAATTCAACTCTCCCCTCTGTCCTCCTACCTGCCTCTCCCTCTCCTCCTTTTCCTGACACCTTCACTCTCTCCTTCTTGTTCTAACTTCCTTGTACTTGGGGATGAGTTCTTATTTCGCTTTCTCAGATCCTTGCGGAGGAGGCAGAAAGACTAACACTGGCCTACGTGCCTATGCTAAGGTTATCCCTTCCCTCCCCCTTCTCGTTTCGCTCGCTCACTCGTTCCCCTCTCTCCTCCTCCCTTCTCTTTCCCTCTGCATTCTTGATCCTCACGTTCTCATCGTCAGGGAACTCTCGCAAGAAGTCGAAGAACTCAAGAAGGAGGTTCAAATCTCTCGCAGAAGTGCCGACTGGGTGCGAGTTGTGATCATGCATGATAATGTTTTCATGATGACTTGATTGTGGTTTGAATGTCTGTTGATCACGTTGTCGATGATGTTGGAAGATGGGTTGCTACTGCTGCTGCTGCTGTTGATGTTCGTTGAAGACGGAGCTAGTAGATTTTCAGGATGGTGGTGATGGAGATGACCCATGTCTGTTTATGTTGCGATCGCGAATCTTTATAAGAGTATGTGTTACAAATTCCTTCCGATCCCTTCAGTCAAGGTAACAAGTCGTGGAGCAGGCAAGGCCAAAGTCCACATCATTCTTCAAGCGGAGCCAGGGCGAAAGAAGTTTATGAAGGTGGATGGCCTCCATCATTAACGTCTCAAGGTGGCCATGTCGGTCATGTGAGACGTGTGTATCATCAGCTTGTGTAGTCTCTTGCATGTATCCATATTCTCTCGCGTCTTCACTCTCTGCAGCACGGCATGTTATCTTCTTTGATAAACTGTCATCAGTCACCTCGGACTTGAGCTGATGCTGCAGACCTGACATCTTTCTCTTCATCTCCTCCACCTGCTCATCCCTTCTCACTCTCCAACATGACCATCCAATCCGCTACCGTCACGGTCTCCTTCTCTCCGCCTTCCTCTCGTGGTCCTCCCTCATGCTGTGGCATGTGTCAGCCCCACCACAGCATGGAGCACGTCGCCTCACCCTAACAAACACTTCGACCTCGTGCTCGAGTTTCTCCAGCCTCTCGTCGATGCTCATGCTCCTCTGCTCACTCGTCATCTCATAGCTCCCGTCCTCCTCCTCCTCTTCCTCCCTCACCTCTTCAATCTCCTGAATCATCATCGTCACGCTCCTGGGTACCGCCACCTGATGTCTGGGTCACTTGACAGCAGGAGAGCAAGGAGGAGGAGATAGTGAGACGCTTCTGTGTGCTGATGGGACGAGAGAAGGAGAAAGCCAGAGGTGGTGGAGGAGAACGAGCACCAGCCAGCAAGACTCGACGATGTTGGTGCTAGTGGAGGAAGGGGTGGTGAAGGACAAAGGAGGGTTGATGGATAAGGGGGTTTGAAGGGGCTCCACCTGCTTCCTTTGCCTTAGGACACTGACGACATTGGAGCAGGCGGAGGAGCTCCGGAGCAGAACATCCTCGATCCCTTCCCACGTCCACGACATGGTGTCCTCCACATGCCCCTCCCCCTCCTGAGCCTCCTGGTAGTGCTGAGACCCTCCCACAGCATCTGCCACCAGCCTGTTCATCTCCTCTACGTTCCTCTGGAGTATGCTCAGGGAGGATCGGATCCAGAAGGGGGGCAGCGCGTCTCCCTGCTCCTGCGCCTTCACCTCGCTCGCTCCCTCCCTCAGGGCAGCCACCCGCTGGTTCACGAGCCTCTCCTGCTCCTGCAGCAGCTTCTGCTCGCGTTCCCACCTGAGCACCTGGCAAGTCTCCCGATGCCTCCTGCTCTCCTCCTCCAGGGCGAGCTCGAGCTCTCTCACCCGCCCCTGCAGACACACATCAGAACGAGGAGGAGGATCGTTGCGGAGGACAACCGTCTCCTTCCCCTGCTTCGCCTCCATGTCCAGCACGAGCCTCGAGAGCGAGAGGACCTGCTCCTCCAGCTCTGACCGCCTCATCCCCTCACACTCCACCGCCGCCTCCGACTTCCTCAACTTCTCCTGTCACTCCTCGGTCATGTGAGGCCAACAGAGGTTTCCGCCTTACCATGAGCATCGTCACCTGCTGCTGCAGCAGACTGCTAGGACCCTCGTCCAACGCCTTCGTCGGCAGACTGTCTGTCGATACGCTGCTGTCTTGAAGTCTGATATGAGCTTTCGGCTTCACAGGCATTTCTTCTTTCACTCCCTGCTCCTCCTGTTTCAGGTTTGCTTTTGGTTGTTCGATCCCCTCCGCGCTCCCTCCCCCCCAAGACGACTTTTGAAGATCATCCCCGAGGACTTTCGCGGCCCCTTCCTTGGCGTTGATCGACTTCCTTGTGAGCTCCCTCATGCAAGAGGTCGAGGAAGTGGCCGAGACACTCGACGAGTCAAGATTCTTCTGCCGCATGATGGCGTCGAACGTGTTGGACAAGAGCTTGTCCATAATCAGGTGCCCTGCCTCATCACCATGCCGAAGAATTTCCTCGGACTTACACTGACGCACGTAGTTCCCTCGATGCTGCGGGTTCATGGTTCCAGAAAAGGAGCTCGAGCAAGACAAGTAGGACAAGAGCAGCATGACCATAAAGCCATGCTTCATCTGGCAAGAACACAACATGTTAGTGCCTTTCATTCCTACTTGTCTTTCACATTTCTTCTTTCCATGGTCCTGCCTTCCTGAACTATGCTTTCTGATTCCTTGTCTCTTGTTCAACTGTAGCCTCCCTCCTGCCCACCTTCCCTACGTCCCTCCCTCCGTCCGTCCGTCCATCTGTCCGTCTTCCCCCTCCTTCCCTTCTTTTCCCCCTCCCTCCCTCCCTCCCTCTCCCTTCCTCCCTCCCTCCCTCCTTCCCTCCCTCTCATCCCTCTCATCCCTCCCTCCCTCC